TATGTCAGTGGCGTACCGGAGAAAAAGTTAGGAGGTATTACCGGACCGGAGGGGTGTGGGTGGGGCCATGAGGTGTTACACCCCGAGCCCCCAGTAAGGTCATTTAGTCACTAGTAGTAGCGTCCTCTACCACTGCAGAACAGGCGAAAATGCATGCAGGCCAACGTGAAGAAGAGTTCCCCTGATTTATATCTCTTAGCTAAATGATTCATGGCATACTTGCGGGTACTGATTTATTTGACTGCTGCATAATCTTTCCACACTCCACCAGTGGCGCCGAGAGGCCGAGGAGACCAGATCAAGTTCCCCGGGGCCTGGACCTTGCAGGGGCCCGGGATAACTAGTTAAAATATAATAAAATAAAACAAATAAAAATTATTAAACGTATGCATTCAACCAGTATTATTCATGTGTTTTTTTTTTCACGAGAATTGTAAAGAAAGCTGATCGTTTATCGTTGAAAGCTGGTACTTAGTCGAGTCGCTTCTAAATCTTTTTCATGTATATTTTCATTACTTCTACTACTCTAGAGTTTATTTTTGCAATGTGTCAGATAGTAAATTCTGTTACGCCGTACGGTATTAATTAATACAGTATAAAAGGCTTGGACCCTGGACATTGTTTGCAGTTAGCGCTCTAGTATTCTTATTATATCTCTATGTTCTTTCTACGACTCTAATATTGGAAAGGCACTGGCGCCATCAACTTATTTTGGACAAATTATTGCGTATTTTGAACCGATGCTCACCAACCCTAATGTTTGTTCATACAACCAGGAAACAGACAACTATACGTTGAAGGGCTGTGTCGTTCCTTTTCGAGCACTATTATTATATATTTATCTATCTGTTTGTATTGTGTTTACGGTGCTAGTACGCAGGAAACTTAATTTTAATATTATTTACTATGATTTCTAAGATGCGACCTATAAGCTTAAGGTATCTGTGGTCCAATGGGTATAATAATCGCCTTGGCAGTGAGTGGTTGCAGGTTCGTATCCAGCCAGAGACAATTATTTTATACAACTGAAATAAAGTAACTTTTCGTTAATATGCTATACGATTACAGTATAACAACATGTTCCTCCTGAGCACTGTTGTCATTACAGTATTTATCTATTTGGTTATATTGTGTTTAGGTGCTACGCAGCAAACTTGATTTGAATATTATTCACTCTGACTTCCCATCTACGGCCAAAAAGCTTTTCTTAGCTAAACAACAGCTCCTCTATATGTGGGCGTTTCAGTCGCCTATATCCTATAGACGTCTCTGTGGCCTAATGGATATGATACTTGACTTGGTTGCGAGAGTTGCAGGTTCGAATCCTGCCAGACACTTTTTTTCATAGAACTGAAATAAAGTATGTATGTGCTGTCTATGTCTATTCTGCATACAAGGTATAGGGGTTCGAATCCTGGTTGAGGCAACCTTTTTCCGTACTCGCAGATTTATTCTCTTTACGGTTTAGAATATATATATACTGTCTCTTATACACATCTAGATGTGTATTACCGCTAGATGGTTTAGAGCCCCGCTTCCCAAACTTTTTTCTCTGGGACCAAAGTTGTGATTTCCCATACTAGACGCGTCCCATCTAATAGTTTGATAGTAAATTGCACAGCGACTTTTATAAGATCCCCGAAATTTGATGCCATGTTTTAAAATTGTCTATACATTGGTATATTACATCGATTTTTGCTTACTGTTATCAATGACAACTCCATAAACTCGTAATGGAGAAGGCCGAGAGAGGGACATTTACAGATATAGGGTCTACCCACCTCAGCCCCACATGATTGGAACTAAGTTTAGAAATTTTATAATTATGGCACCTAGATGGGAGTCTCAGATGGCCGCAAATGGCAGTCTCAGACTTCAATTTGAATAAAATTTTCCATTTTCTTCCCCATTATTTTTTATTTTAAAACAATGGAAGGGGGGGGGGGAACTCAGGTTGGCTTCCCCACCCCTATTCACCATTGATTATCCAGAATGAAACTTCAAAATCTGAGCCTGGCTGACCTAAAATCTTGAAAATATAGTATCGGCTTTTTTTCAGAAAATATTTTAAGTCTTTAAATTTGATAAATCTAATAAATTCAGCTCTGTGGGTACTATTTGGGTTAGGTTGATATAATAGTGCCCACAGAGCTAAATTAAGTTTAGCTCTGTGGGTACTATTATATCAACCTAACCAAAATACATGTGGAAAGCGGTCTTTTAGTTGTATTATTGTTTGAATTTGCTTAGGTACAGGGATTGGGGATTATCTGGGAAAAATGCTATTCTTATAATTGGTCACATGAGTTTAAGTCTATACATGTTTTTAAACAGTGGAATGTTTAGATTTACACAAGTATGTTGTAAAGTATAAGATATCATTGTGTGCATATATTATTAATATTGTTCTAATGAGGGTTCACCTAAAATACTGTATTTAGGCCTAAGTCGTCAGATCTTTAGAAATGTTACAGCAACTGTGTAAACTAGCACATACTGCTCGCGACCAAAATGCAAAAGTTTGGCCACCCACTTTTAGGTCACGACCCATAGCGTGGGTTTAGAATTTATCTTTATTATATCAGGATTCATTTACAAATAAAGTATTTCTTCGGTCCTGTCTTGTCAATGCTTATAATAAAAAAAGGATGAGAGAAAAAAAGGCATATTGATCGCTGTTATTTGCCATGCATCATGGACTTTAATTGGATTCGAATTCCTAACAAGGCCTCAATGGCCCAGTTGGTTAAGGCGTCGGCGTAGACAGGAGGTCTCTGGTTCTTATTAGCGTTCAATAGTATATAGATAAATTACTTAAGAACAATTTTAGGTGGATATTTCTAACACACACAAACTCTACGGGTTTAATAATGTATACGATTAAGAATTTGTATTTTTTAAATATTTTTCAGGAATCTCCCCAGCTGCCTACGCCACTTTGCAGAGAGTTGTATCAGGTTGGTGTACGGAATTTGAAGGTGTCGATATGATGAAGGTTTTACTTCGGCAATTTAAGAAAAAAATTGGTGAGGATAGGCTAGAAAACACCAATGACGTAAGGGATTTTTTTGAATTAATGGAAATGATTGGTGAGGCGAACAGTTCAAAACATGAAATCATTTTGGAGGCTGTTAAAATCTGTGGTCTTGAAGGTGTAAGATCAAAAATTAGATTAATTAAGCCAACTTTTGAAAATTTTAAGTTTGAAGATGTAGAAATCAGAACATTTTCCCCTTACCGACAAAATCTAATAAAATTTGGTAAAAGTTTGAGAAGGAGTGATATTGTGACTATTGGTCACTTGGCTAAAATACATAAGAACAAACACAAACATAATCCGTGGCTACTAATTGGTGCACTAGAAGAAAATGGTAATATCAAAGCAAGTTCTGCATCACAAGATTTTATCAACATTTTAAGATTAAATGAAATGGACAGATACGCGGATATTATTTTAAATCTGGATCAATAACAAATATGGTTGAAATCTGGACCATGTAAATATATGGTCATTGTTAACATTGGTAATACACAGATGTAGGCCCATTACATAGTGTATTGTATAATATTACATATGAAAAGTAAATTAACAGAAAATATTTTGTGGCAATTATGAATTTTTGAACAAATTTAACCAGGGAAACATTCTGATAATTAGTACGTAAACTAATATACAAATAGGGAACGATCCCACAATTACCAACTTTTACTTTAAGTTAAATTCAAATATAACAAACGAAAGTAAAATGTAAATACACATAACATGCTTTTATTGTTTTCTAGATCGCAACAGCAAAAACGCCCTTTTAATAAAAGCTGGAATTGCGAGGTACATTGTTAAGCATTATTTAAAACTTACTGGCATTGACATGCAATGGTTGACACAACTTATTCCTCCAAGGTTATGTATGTTGCAACAAAGGTTCTAGAAACACAAGAAAGTGAAGCGAATAATCGTCATGGCTTTATACGCATATTCCGACGTACGCAGCGCGCTTCTCTTTCTGCTAATTATGGAAATTAATTGCTAATTAGAATCCAGCCGTACGCGGCACCCCATTTTTTGCATTTCCACCATGCATTTCGATGCCACAGTTTCTTTTATGTGGAGGCTCTCTTGTGTTTCTAGTATCTTTGGTTACAACTATTATCTTACGATATTTAATAATACAGAAATAATGCTGGGAGAAAGGGTCAAGTATTTAAAATAGAATATATTCATACTCATAAATTAGGCATTAAGCTATTGTATATGCGGTGGCGTGATAGTTACGTTTTACACAAATATTAATGAATCATTAATAATTTTGTGCTAAAAAATCATAGATAGGATAGAACAAAATTCGTTATAAGTATTTTATAGGGCTATACATTATTATGATTTCATCAACATGAATTGTAATAAAAAATATGAAATACCAAGCAAACACAAATGTCAGAAAATGACGTTAATTCAAGGCTGCAGCAACGTTGCGTTGTTACTTAACATTATGTTCTAAATACACATTTATGATTCTATAAAAAAAAAAAAAACTGTTTTGTCCACTAAATTTTCATAACATAAAATTGTTGGCTGGGTATGTCAATTGTACTGAAAACTGCAAATATTGCATAATGTTCATAACGCTAATCTCAAATTGGAACGATAAGGTTAAAACTTTAATAGGCCTATTCACTGTTAGCCTATATTTTGCTTTTACTGTATGCCTATATTGTTTTGTTTTAAAGTAGTTAACGTATTTGGCTCAAGTTCAGCAGTTTTAAACATAGATTTAACATTTACTTTGTGATTTCATATACGCCTTATAATTAGATTTCCTTATTCTAGTCTTAGCTGTGAAAGTAGAAAGTAAGTGACGTGCATAACATTGGTTTTAGTCGGTATTCTGCTAGCAAAGATTTTTTTAAAACTAAGATATTGTAACGATAATTTGGTATATTTCGATGTCATCAAATCCTTGTGTAGGCATACTAATGTCAGATAAGTTATAAATAACCGTGACTATAACATCACTTTTGACGAATTCGATATGTTTGTCAATAAGAGAAGACGGCTAAATACATTTGTTAAGGTTGACGATGCATTAACATTTTTAATTTATGAACTTTTGCAATGGATATTCTGTTTTACTTAAATTTAAAAAAAATGTAAAATACTGCCATAAATTGTAAACCATGTGCTCTTAACAGCTTCTAAACATCATCAGATATATTTATTAGGAACATGCATATTTGTATAGGCCTAATCAAGACAGTACAGATGCTAAAATGTCTTGAGAGTCATAATTTTGAGGCAAAAAATTAAAATGGAAGCCGCAATGCCTACTACCCTGACCTATGAAGCCTTCTTTTCACAATGATCGCATAAATCATTTAAAATTTTTTTTTTTCATAAAAATTTACATGCACAATTATGAATCCCCTCCACAAAGCGAGTGATTTGCTCTCTTGTGAACATGTGTGCTGTGAATAGTATAATTTTCAAAGCCAACTCTGATATAAGTCAGATGGACAGATAACGATGATGCTGAATTCAATATCTTAATATACAATTACAATCGAATGTAATATCTCATTTGGCATATGTCTTATATGCTATATGATAAAACTTCATTTTCAACTACAGTACAGTATATAACCAGAGGGTCCACTGATTAGTTTCAGATACGAAAGAATACATACTCTAAAACTCGTTATTGGGTCATCATCAAAAATAACAATTTATCCATATTTTCAGGCTTATATATGTTGTAACAAGGCAATTCAACAGAATTCTTTTGAATTACCTTGGTCGTAATTACCAAAAAAGTTAACCAATTACAAACATGGTATTATAACAGTGATTTATAATAATAGGCCTACATATGCAATATGGTACATTGGTACAATTAACATGAAACATAAATTAATTGAGAGAAGCCGAGCAGACAGTGCAGATAGGCTGTGACACACGTGGAAGAGGATTCCAAGAAAACAATGCCAATATAAGTGAGTACAGAGACATTGCTGGGGTAATATAGGATACGAGCACGTTGGTGAGATCAAATCCAGTTGGTAAAATGAGATACAGAATGAAGAAGATAAATGTCTCGTGTAGAAATAAGGAGGCAAGGTAAATTGTATGAAAAGGGAAGTGGCGTACAGAATACAATGTAGTATTCCTGTCTAGCATGGTAGTTTTCAGTAACAAATAAATTTTTAAAAAATAGGTGTATATCTTTTAAAAGAAATTTTAATACAGGGTACCTGCAATATGCAACTATGACATGTGTCATTAAATTAGTAATAATTCATCTACTCACAGCTGTGGGTTTTACTGCCTCTTCTACGAACATCTCAAACATAGACTTTGACAACATGCAAAGGCTCATAAATGTACACCATTTCAAAAGAGAAATTTCACTTCTAGAAACCATGATGAAGTTTCTCAGCAACATTAAGCATAAATTCACAAAATCAGCAAAAAGGGAAACTAATATCCAAAATCCGTTAAAAAAGTCGTCAAACAACAAAATCCGCTACTGTATACCGTATTAACATTGAGTAAATTACAAGTGTTCTATTTCTCTTCAAGTGGATTTATGAATAGCAATCTCCTAGGGTGTTTTTGGTAGGAAAAGAAGACTTACACTGTGGGTATAATTTTTTTTTTGCAAAAAAATAGGGGGGGGGGGACGTACGCCCCTTACGCGCCACCCCTCCTAAATCCGCCACTGGAAATAGGCCTATAGGCCCTAGGTTTAGGCAGGCCTACTCTGTTTCATGTCAATTAGAGACAGGATTATACAATTGTATACAGTATATCCTGTAAATTACACAATATGATTAAACCAGGTACTGTACTTGAAAACAATAAGGAAGCAAAACTTACACGTCAAAAGTGTCAAATGTTGTCTACACAAAAACTGTACTTTATTAAAAGAGTAAGTCTACAGAAGGGGTGTCGTCAATGGAGATGTGCACACATATCAGTGTACTGTGCATTGCCGGCGGAACCGGGGGCCGGGGGGCCTGGCCCCCCCTCCACTTTTTGGCAAAAAATATATAATGTCTGGAGGTTTTTGTATGATCGAAAATGCAAGAAAAGAAGGAGGGAAGAAGGAGGAGAAGGATGGGAAAGAGAATGTTCATCCAGACCCGACCGAGTTACATTTTCTCGCAATTCACATTGGCGGATATGGGGAGGGGGGTCATGGGTCCTGACCCCTCCCTTGGACAACAAAAAAAAAGAGGAAAAGAAGAAGAATTCTAGACCTACCTTTTCAGGACCTGTGAGCTGATTTTTTTTTTTTTTTTTTTTGTTACAATAAGAAAATTAGAATTCCTAGATGGCTGGAAATCATTAAAACACACTTCAAATGTCGGGAAAGCTCATTTCCCGCCATCTAGGAATCAAAATTTTCAAGAGGGCGGGAGAACCCCTGGACCACCCTTTCTTTTTGGGATTTATCGATTCATGGTAAAAAGAATACGCATGCAACTACTCATTTGTTTATGTATGCATACACACATAAAATAAAAAATGAGAAAAATTTACCTGACTGTTTTCAAGAGGGGAAAACCTTGAATTTTGAAGAACTTAAAATACATTAAAATACATTTCAGAAGTTAGGAAAGCTCATTTCCCGTTTTTGGGATTCATCGATTCATGGAAAAAAAAATCGTATGCAACTACTCAATTTTTTGTGTAGGCCTATGTATACACACATAAGGCCTATCTACTGTAATAACAATGGCAAAAATTTACATGACCGTTTTGAACAGGGGAAAACCTTGAATTTTGAAGAACTTTTAAAGTCACTAAAAGATACTTCAGAAGTCGGGAAAGCTCATTTCCAACCATTTAGAAATCAACATTTTCCCGGGAAGAACCTGAACCTCCCTTTTCTCTTTTGTTCACTGATTCATTATAATAATTTTCAAGAGGGGAAACCTTGAATTTTGAAGAATTTAAAGTAATTAAAAGACACCTCAGAAGTCGGGAAAACTCATTTCCCGCCTTCTAGGAATCAAAATTTTCCCGGGGGAGAACCCCCACCCCTCCTTTTTGGGATTCATCGATTCATGGAAAATTCGTATGCAACTACTCATTTTTTTTATAATTTTTATGTATGTATACACACATTTTTCTTGATAATATCATTGTTTTATATTCCATATGCTTATTTATAATAGAAAATACTAATTGGTATCAAATCTACTCACAACTGTAGATTTGTAAACGTTTGTGAATGAATTGGGAATAAATTTACAACTTTTTTGAGGAGGTCAATGACCCTTTGACCACTAGCTACGTCAATTTCTGCCTGTTTCAAATTTTTTTAAATTTGAGTGACTGACCAATCTATAGGCTAAATGTTGATACCAACATCATACAAATCCATTGACTAAATCAAGGGTTATGAGCATAAATGTTACTCCCTACCCCAAAAACTGTTGTTGATTACAAATTTCTCGGATCATAAACATTGACAATAGTACATAATGCATTTTAATTTTTTTCTTGTTAACCTCAATTTTTGTATTCCATATGTTAATAACTACAAGAAAAACACAATTTGTATCAAATACATTAAAAATTAGACATATGACACAGAAGTTTATTGATATTTTATGAAAAATTTTGCATTTTAGAAAAAGGTCAATGACCTTTTGACCTCTAGTGACGTTAATACAGTCATTGTCGGATTAATTTTATTTAAATTGCATATGATTAAGAAACATATATGCTACACATTGCTACCAAAATAACATTGATGAGATTTTTAATTGACAGGTTATGGGCATAAATGTTACTCCTCCCCCCCCCACAAAAAAAAGCATTGACCATAAAACACTAACGACCATTACAAATGACGCGAGTACGTACAATGCATCCCTATATTTTTCTTGTTAACATCAATTTTTTTTGTTCTATATGCCCGTAGGAACAAAATGATACCAAGGAAGTTTAACTGTGGGAGAGGGGGGTGCACGGTGACCCCCTCCAGCCCATGGCCTATAAATTATATGAAATACTAATTAATTACAAAGTAATAAAAACATGATTTTAAAAAAAGCTATACAAAGTCTCATTACATAAAATTCAACGAGCATATCATCATATATAGGCTTTATACTTATATCAAACCAACAAACCATGCTTTTTTTGTTTGTTTGTTTTAATTTCTTGCTCTTTCATATATAAATCTAAAGAGCAACCAATTTCAAAGGAAATTAAACATCACAAAAAAAAAAAATTACATTATACACCATAATCAATTTAAAAAGAAATTAAAAGAAAAAGGCAAAGCGCAGAAGGAGAAACATAAAAAAAAAACTTTCAAAAAAAGTAACTGAAAACAGAAAAGGAAAATCAGAAGAAGGAAACAAGAATGAGGTTTACAAGCACCAAAGGACAGAACATCAAAAGGAAACCAAGAAGAAGAAAAGGCAAGGGGAGGAGAGCAAAGGATAACCTTTTAAACACGAATGTTTGTTTCATGAGGGGTAGCATTGAAAATAAGAGAAGATACAAACAAGAAAGAGTTAAGAGCAGACAAGAAAAGAGCAACCCGAGAAAGCCATAAACAAATAAATAAATAAAAGCCTATAAATAACTTAAACTAATTCTTTGGATTTTCGAAGTTTTATTTTATTCATTTATTATTATTATTATTTATTTTTTAACAGTTGTTGACATGCATTTTAAAGGTGGACCAAACATCCAGAGCTTCAATATAAGTTGACATGCTGTTCCAGAAAATAATACAATTCAATTCATTATTCCACAAATGTCACAATATAAACATACTTTTTACATATCACTTTTTTCAAAATAGGCCTATGTAGTAAAGGGTATCTCAC